GGATGGTTGGCACAAATCTCTTTCTTAAAATGGACTCATATAACGTCATCATGGGCACTCCCCCTCCCCCCCCCCTAAAAAAAAAAAAAATATTTAAAACTCCCCCAAAAAAAAAAAAAAAAAAAAAAAAATGGGCTTGAAAAATGGATTCAGTAATATATTATATACAAGTTCAATAATATTTCTCATGCTTTTGACTATTGTAGCTATTGGTATATCTGCATTCGATATTATTACTCGGGCTTTACTCGTAGACCCTGGGAAAATGACTGTTATTATTGCAGGAGGCAGTTACTTTTTAATGGTAAAGGGGGTTCAACAAAATATTATTTCCTTACAACTCAAAGAGGTTTTTGTTTATTTTCATTAAAATATCCCTTTTGATAGGGTTTTATTGCAGTAATTTTGGGGTTTAGTCGATTATATACTGTAAAACGAGCTTTAAGCGATATACCAAAGTCTCAAGTGCCAATAAACGAAAAAGATATACCAAAAGTATGATCGATTATATTTATTAACGTATCAATGAAATAAATATATATTAAATTGCTTGGCATCGTTTTCGTCTAGTCTGTCCATAATCTTATTGTTTCAGAGCTAACTCGCGTTTCCAGGATTGCTTTGGCAGGAGAACCAAGGCCTGAAGATGGAGGGCGACCAGGATGGGGAAGACCAGGTACTATGTATTATGTCTTTTTTTTATATGGATATCTAATTATACTACATTTCAAAAATTTAATCGCTTGAACGTTATTTATCAAGGTTCATCGTACAATAATATACACTTCAGATCTTCAATCATTGAAACGCTCTCTTTAATAGGTAAGCTCAAGTTTGTGATTGATCCTTTTTTTTTATATTTTATTATTAATCTATTATTAAAAATACGATTTAAATTTATTTAAAAGAGCAACAGGCTGTAAGGTGTTCGTTAAACTTGGCACGTCAGCCATCAATGTCCGTTCAGCGATATATTGACTTTTTGATAGAACATAAAATAGATCGTGAATTAGGACATGCATATGTTGAAGGCTATGAACGAGCGCGTTTCAGTGATGATGAGGTCCCTGAAGAACAATACATCAAATTTATGAAGCTCGTTTTGCAGTTGTTACGTCAACTGGGTTTCAATGGAAATTAACTTTCCTTTATTTCATCATTTATCTTTTTTCTTTCCTTTTTCATTATCCTTATTTATTGTCCTATGTGCTATATATTTTGTTTGACCTGAACGAAAAGCTCGTGTAAAGGGAAAACATACGGACAACGGATTTATTCCGATGTCACTTTAACCCTTGGGAAGGTCTGAGAAAAACTATAAAAGCCTCTAGCTGAGATACTCATGAGAATGAGTGCGAATAACCAGAAACGGTACCCTCCTTGGTTTCTAAATATGAAGTCTTATGATCGATTGTTTATCAATGGAGTGTTGGAACGCGGTTCGCTTGTGGAAGTTCTATGAAGTGCGATACACGAGACATCACAATGTGATGTAACTCAATTCAGACTACTCTTTCGTTCGGGTCACATGATATGTCTATTATTTTTCCCTATTTTCTTGATCATTTTCTTTTTAGACTATCATCTTTATTATCATTATAAATTTCTTCCTTTTTGATTGACCTGAACGGAAAGCTCGCGTTAGGGGTAAACTTACGGACAATGGAATTTATTCCATTGGTCATTTTTTAATAACCCTTGGGAAGGTCTGAGAAAAACTGACAAGTCTTTAGCTGGGACACTCATGAGAGTGGGTCATGAATAACCAGAAATAGTATCCTCTTTGATTCAGAATGTGATGTCGTTTTGACAGATTCGATTGAGTCAATAGTAGGAGTTAAACACGATTCATTAGTGGAAGTTCTATGAAGTGCGATACGCGAGACATTACAACTGTGATGCAACTCAATTCAGACTATTCTTCCGTTCGGGTCAGCCTTTTTTAATTTTTCATTCATTTATTTTGGGGAAAAAAAAAAAAAAAAATGATGATTTGAACTACCAAAATTTTTTAAAAATTTTGATTTTATTCTGATTTTTTTTTTTTTTCAATACTAAAATTTAATTTATTTCATTTAATGTATTCGAGTTAAATAATTCCCAAAGGAAAATAAATAAAATAAAAGATTTATTATTATAAAATTATATAGAATTTACGTTTGTAATAATAGGAAAATATGTAAATTCAAAAAAATAAAAACATTATTAATACATTTCTACAAAGTGTTTCTTCTAAACAAGTTACCCAGAATAAATAAATATAAATGATTTCATTGAAAATAAAAAAAAAATGTGTTATACATAAATAAATAAATATAAATATAAATATATATATTTTTATATTTTCCATGTAAATATAAATCTAATTATTATTATTATTATTATTATTATTATTAACATTATTATTATTATCTTGAGCTTGTGCCAACCGTGCTTCCAAATTTCTTAAGGCTTCTTCTTTGGCCAAAAGTTCTTGTCTCTTTTCAGTAATTTCACGTTGTACTTTCAATTCAATTTCTCTCAGCTAAAAAATTAAAACAAAGATTTAAGTTAATTGATACTATAAAAATATTTTTTTTTTTAAAAAAAAAGAAATTTTACCTTCTCTTCTTCACGCTTCAATTGTTCTTCCTTCAAACGTACACTTTGCGTAGCAAGATCATCTGGTAAGATACTGGAATCCCTACAAAATAGAAAACAAAAAAATTTTTGTTAGTTGAATACAAAGATGATAATTTTATTTTATTTTTTATTTTTTAAATGATACTTACTCGACAGGGACATCAGCACTTCTGCTAAGTTTCTCAGTACGGTAGTTTTCATATAAAAAGTCATGAGTAATCTCTTTCAAGTCTTGTAAATGAGAGCTAATAACAACAATAATAATAATAAATTAAAATAAAAATTGTTTAAATTCCAAACACGTTGGTATTAATATTGAATTACATGAAACAAAAAATTTTTACCTTAATAGAGCTGATCGCAATCTTGCAAAATCCGAATGTTGCGGGTTATCAACTATCATAAAGTATTTAAATATTATTTTAATTGATGGATATAATGTCGAATTGAAAAAAAAAAAAAAATTAATTAATTAATAATTAAACATACCTTCAACGACACCCCACGGGTACTGGCGACCGCGTACAGCCCTTCCGTTTACCATAATTTCCTCCTCACTTCCAATGATGGCAAAAGGTAAAAGCGCCTAAAAATGATTATAATCTAGTGAATAATGACGAATCTCATGAATAAAATTAACGATTAAACCTAAGATTCTATATACTCGTAATTCACTATTTTCTTCAACAGTTTCTTCGTCGTCTTCTTCTACATCAAATGGGAAATTATAAATTGGGATATTATAATGATCGATATCCTCCATTATCTGAAAATTGACAAGCATTTAAGTCAATATGACGCGAAAAAGGAACACGAAATTCATCTTTGTTAAATTCGATACACACTCTCTTTTTGAATTGAATCAATTCTGTCGGTGTACAGGTATCAGCCTTTCCAATGACAGGAATCACATTGACACGTGGACTAAGTCGCTTCATCAATTCAATATCAATCTCACGAAGGCTAAATTAATAATAAACCATATAATTAAAACAAATCATTATTTTAAAAAAAGAAATCCCATAACCATAATTAATTTACGTACGAATGACCTGTTGGGGTAATGAAGTAAAGAAGGGCGTGAACCCGATTGTCTCTGAATCTTGGATTACGTTTAATCCGTGATTCCTCAGCCAAGATATCATCATATTGCCTTTCAAGATATCCCATAATTTCTTGAAAACTTTATTGAGGATTAAATATTAATATCTTTTTTCGTGACCTTTTTAATATAACGACAAAAAGAAACATACCAAAATTCATTGTCAATATTGTCTCCAAATCCGGGAGTATCTACAATTGTTAAGGCAATCCTAACTCCATCCTCTTCCAACTCTACCAAAAAAAAAAAATTTGAATAAGCTAAAAAAATAAAATGTACTTGAAAACTTTTAAATATTATAAATATCTTACCAACTGTGACAGGTTTGATGCGGATGCCTTCTTCTGTATGTGCAGTATCCGGGTTATCGCATAATTTTTTGGATAAAACTTCACTACCACATAGAGTGTTGACAAAAGTAGTACGGCCGGTACCTGAAGTGCCTATTTTCAAAAGTTTATATATATAAAAAACAGGTAATACATGCTATTGTAATAACGTTTATATTTTGTTTAGACAAATCACAAAATTCAAAACAATAAAGTATTGGTAGGCTGCCATCTGCCCAAGTTGCAGTCATGCAGAGGGGTCAAAAAAAGGGGAGAGGGAGAGTATGCTTTATGCAAGGAGAGAACTTTTAAAAGCTGTTGTGGAAGGTACTTACCGACAACCATAAGAGTGAATTGAAATCCCTTTTTAACATTTTTTCTACGGCCACCCAATCTCTATTAAAAGAAAAAGAATTAGAATTATCAATTAAAGGAAAAAAAAAATTAAATTCAAAAGTTTTAGGGCGACTAACATGTGCCATGATTAAACTTAATTAAATAGTATAATGAAGTGTATTTATTGTAAGAGAACAGGCCTTTAAAAAAAAAAGGAATGAATGCGTTCTACAATGCGTATTGAATGATAAGGAACGACCCAGTTCAATGAATGAAGTATTTGAATTGGTTGGTAAATGGTATAACAAATATTTGCAAGGAAGCAGGCAGCAGCAAAAAAAAAAGCAATCTCGACATATGCATAAAAAATTTAATATTGTTTATGGTCACACACAGCAACTAGAATAGTACAGGTTAGAACCTATCAAATGGGGACCCTTTATTAGCGAAAGAAAAAATCCGAAAATTTGTTGTGTACTAAAATTCGTATTTATTTTGACGATTTTGCTTATCTTTTCCTTAGTTTGGTTAGTTTTCCCCTTTTCCCAAATAATAATAAATATATTAGCCTTTGATGGCTTTTTACTTGTCGCGATGCTATGCTATGACCAAGGTCCAAATTTTGCGACATTTACCTCTAGCCATTACTATTAATAAAAGTTTAAATTAAATTCTGCTCAGAAGAAACTATTTTCTGCTCAGAAAAAATACTGATTATAGAACAGTTGTGTAAAATTTGAGGTGTTTTTTATTATGTAATGTAACGCGAGTTTTATATGTCGATCACTAAGTTAAAATTGTAATACCTTAATCAGCCAATAAAATAGATTTTTAACCATGCTCCTAAAAATGACGCGTAAATAAAGTATAAAAAATATATTTATACTCTTCAAATTCCAAAAAAATTTTTCTTCAATTCTTCGCTCTAAATCATGGATAAGAAAGGTATTATATGGGTTGATTGCTAGGAAAATCAGGTTCCGGGAATTTTTTAGCGAAATTGAGCATTTTAGTTTTTGATGTTATTAGATTAAAATGTATTAAGCTCTTAATTTTAGTCAAAAATTTCTCGGAACCTGATTTTCCTAGAAACACTCCCATATGGTATACTAATTGGTTTAAATAAATCACTTCATCACCGTCTACCTCCTAACACATAAGAGTGCAGTATTTCTAGTCTTCCCGCCTCCTAACTCATGGGAGTGCAGTACTTCCAGTGATCTAGTCTTCTATCCGCCTCCTAACTTAAGGATATGTCGGGAACTATAAAAAACGTTAGCAACGGAGATCTCGAAGTTTGGTTAAGAAAGATTATTTCACCGCCTATATGTTTTGAACACATAGTTAAAAGAGATCCGAACATGTGGGGTCATGTCCATTTCAGAACTCACGAAAATGCATCAGAATTTTATTTATACCATGGAAGGGGAAACATTTTCTGGGAAATTAAAGGATTCTGCCCAGTTTGAAGTTCGATTTTCTAAAGCAACATATTATAAGTCTGGAATGATCAAGGAGAAGTAATCTCACCGCTTTTATGTACCCCTTACTGTGCAAAATCAATAACTCACAACACGGTTACAATATGAAAGTTGAATGGAGACTAGACGTTCGCGTCCCTACTACAAACGTCTCGCAAATTAAAATACCCACATAGATTGTTATTGAGACGGTAAGTTTTCAAAACTAGAGTTGAGTCTTGAGATTTATTTATTTCGCATTAATTTTCTTTGATCAGGATACTGCTTATCGGGAATATCAGCCGTATGCATTATTTGATTTACACGAAAATTGTCAAGGGTCTGATATGTACTGGTTTATGTTATTGCATGCAGTGTTGGCAAATGACCTTGAAGTGACCTTAAAATGACCTAATCATGTGATGATTTTACTATGAAATCTATCACGCGATCATATACAAAGTGACCTAGGTCACTTCAAAAAAAGGGAAAAGACCTTGAAATTTGCCAACACTGATTGCATGCGCATAAACTAATTTTTCTTGATAGTTTTAACGTGGTCAAGTTTCATACCCAGGGGTAAATCACAAAGAGCAAGTGGAAATCAATGTCAATGACGACAATAAATCTATTACCATTATAGTTAAAAAATAAAGTTTCTTGCCTTTGCAACGTTGTACAAAATAAAACAATATTTATTGCAATTTGCACAAAAGTCTAGATAAAGCAAATACCAGCGTGAATTTTTGCGTGCGGTTGAGGATTTGAAGAGAAATGAGACTCCATTTTATAATAACTTTCTGCATATTTTTTATTGATTTACTGTATTTAATTGGATTTAAAGGCTATTTCTTTTATATTTATTATTCGTTTTAGGACAAGCCTTATACTTTACTCCATTAAATTATAAGATTGTGATTATTGTTTCTATTCCGAATTAAATAAATCAAATTTTTTTTTTAGTTTGAGAATTTAATAATTGTGATTGGTCACCAAAAAGATTTAGCAATTCGATTCAATTATGGGCCCATCAAAACATTGCCAATTTAGTATTTTCAATCTACTATTTTCGTTCATCACAACACAACTATTTTGACACGTGATTGTACTAAAAATTAGACTTGATAACGGTCCCCTACTCATCCTACTACAAAATTATTGAAATTGAAATATGTATGTTTATAAAGCGAAAGATTTAAATAATTTTATTATTTTTTTAAAAAAAAAGGTTACAAAAAAAAATATATTTATATATAATATACAACCGTTTTCAATTATTGCAAGCCTTTAATAAATAAATAATGTATATATAAATACTTCTACCAAGAAAAAAGAAAAAAAAAAAAAAAATTGAAATTATATAGTTTTATCAAGATCCCAATTTCCAAATACTAATTTTGGTTTGTCCCATTCGCGAACAGAAACTATAGTTTTGTGATTGTTATCATTTTTCCGACGTTTTTTTATACTAGTCTCGACATCTTCATTTGAATCAGAAGTTTCATCGTCGGAATCTCGTCTTCGCTTTTTCTTGGATTTACTAGACTTATGTTTTTTCTTTTTATGTTTAGATTTCTCCTTATGTTTTTTCTTTTTTTTCTTAGTATCATCAACAGATTTTTCGGATTTTTCGGATTTTTCAGCAAACATTTGTTCAAATCTATCAAAATTATACCAACCAGGTTCTCCAATAAATGGTTCAACATCAAACATCGGATCATAATCCTTCCTAAAATATTTATCCATTTTTGACCCATTACTAACTTCACCACGCCCTTTTTTTCTAACAACGTTAGTTTCTGATGTAGGTTTATTCTTTGAATCTGTTGATAAATTTACTCTTTCCTCTCGCGATGAGATAAACCTTGAATTATAATTATCTTTACCTAATACAGATGATGTCTTATGAAGGTATGAGGAAGATGATGATGAACCTGGACTAACAGAACGTCGACTAGATTTTTCTCTCGTAGACGACGATTTTCTATTATCATAACTTGGACTTCGGGAGTAATATCTCCTTCTACGACTTAACCTTCGACCTCTTTCGCTAATAAATACATATAAGAAATATATTGTTAAATATTATCATTAATACAGATAAATAGAAACAAAGAAATAAAAAATTTGTTTTAAGCATTAATTCGTTACCTGGATGATGAATCCGAATCCGAATCCGAATCCGAATCAATATTATCGCTATAATATCTATCACTTGATAACTTTCTAGTTCTAGAATTTCTATCGCGTTGACGTGATGAAACTTTTCGTCTTAAAGCAATCCTACGAGCGGCAGCTTCTTCTTCTATCTTCCTAAGTAAAGCCTGATTATGATAATCCACATTTTTCACCACATTAATTAAAAACCTTTTATTAGTCTTTGGAAGGTTACATGGTTGACTGCTATGAACAATATATATGTGTAAAAAGTTAACATTACACCTTCTTAAAACAAAGTTAAGGCAAGCTCGCAAGTACTTACGTCCCGGTATGTGGCAAATATGCTCTGATACCCTCTTTATTATACATCTTATTCTTTACGGAAGCTTCTTTTAAAACCAGGTCAGCAATATACTTGTCTAGATCCTCATCGGGTAGCGTAGGGGGTACGCTACCACCTACTGAAGCTCGGACAAGCTGATTAACTGCAACGTCTAATGCAGATTTTTGTTCAGGTAATTTACTTTTTGGAGTTTTTTGTGACATCGCTTTCAAAAAAAACGTAAATAGGTGGATAAATTTATTGATTTTATTGGATTAGATTTTAACACAAATGGAGTAAACAAACCCTATTATAGTCATATTTTAAGTCATTATTTTTATTAACGTTGAAAATTATAAAATTTATTCATTTATTCGAAACACGAATCATCATTTTTTTTTTTATTTTTAAAAAAAATTTTATTTGCTTTTCAAAAAAAAAAAATACGCAACAGAAAAAAAAAAAAAAGAATCTATCTACAAGAAGCAACTTTAAAATTACCAACTAAAAAAAAAAAAAAGCAATGAAATGAAAATTTTATATACAAGGCGCACTACAAAATTCTCAAATCAACCCTCATAAAAAAAAAATTATTTTAAAATTATTTTAACGCAAATGGGCACTTTCAACGGAAGGATCCAATAAAAAGAATAATCATAAAATCATAAAAAATAAAATAAAATAAAATAAAGATAAACCCCAAAAAGAAAGAAATAATGTGAAAAAAAAAAAAATAAAAAATTGAAAAAGGAAAATTAAAATCAAGGTACGAAACTGACAGACATCTATCTATATTGTGCTGCAGTAAATAATAGTAAAGGTATCTCACTACCTGATCTTCCCATAATAACCAAAAATCAAGAAAAATCGGATCGAAATCGAGTTTAAAAATAAAATAAATTAGATGAAAAGTTTTGATACGACCATTTACATAAACAAAATAACATCATCCAACCACTATAATATAGTAACTCTTTTTTTTAATTAAAATAATATGAACTCGATTTCAAAAGTAAATAAAAAAGTTAAATTGGGAGAACGAGAAATAAGTTTTTTTTCTTTTTTTTTTTTTTTTTATTCTACGAATATACGTATATATATTATTATTTTTGTTAAAAAAGAGAGAGAGAGAGAAAAAAAAAAGTAAAATTATATATATGTATATATGTATATATATATTTTTTTTGTTTTTTTTGGTGAGATATTTGGAAAACAATTAAATTAAACTATTATTACTACAGCAAACGCGACTGACCGATCGCACACTTGTAGTATTACCAACATCGAAAGTATTGAACAGCAGTTAAAGGTAGGTTTCATAAGTCATTAAAACAGCAGAAAACAGCAGGAAACAGCAAATAATTATAATAGATAGAGATAAAAAATTTAAATGATTGGTTTTTCGTTCAAGATTAACGGGTCATTTGACCATCAGAAGAAGCAGAAGGTGAAAGAGGTGGAAGAGTCACATTTTGCATATATGATTTTTGACCAATTCCGGCATTAACAGGAGGAGAAGGTAATACTGAACGAGCCGCAGCATTAGAAGCCATAGCTTGATCCAATCCGACCAAGATAGCGGTGGTTCTGTTAAGCAACATGCTCAAGTGGGAAACCTCACGTTGTAACTCTTGACGATGAGCTTGCAAGACTTGTTGCGTAATACTAGGATCAGGGACCGCAGCAGTCGGTAAAGGTTGTTGATGGGATGGAACGTTGTTTGAGAAGCTCGAATGAGATGAAATGGTTGAAGGAGGACTTTGCGATACCATACTGCCAACTGAACTAATAATTGGTGGCAATTGTGGAGGTCCGGTTGGGGAACTAGGATTCAACAAGGAGGAAATTGAACCCGAAGAGCCTTGAGGTGAAACATTATTGTTATCATTATATTGACCAGAGAATACGGAAGGTAAAGGAACGCTTGGAGTACCCATAAGACGACTATTAAAAGCTCCAGCGTTATTATTTTGATTATTTTGATGGATGTGAACTTGAGGCAAGCCAGAAGTTAAAGAGGGTTCGACAGGGGACAAACTACGTCTACGTTCATAAGATTCTTGACCAGGGTTATTCCACATCCCTTCACCATTATTATGAGTGTTGCGATTGATATAATCCTCAATGAGAGGAACTTGCCTAGCGTTTCCGCAACGACGTTTATTAGTAACGATGGACTCATCGGCTTTTCTCTTACGTCCGACATTCAAATCTTCGATCGAGCAAATGTCATCATCGGATGAAACATATCCACGTTCAGAACCAGAACCAGAGGTTGAGGGTGGAGTAGGAGGATTATGAACTCGACTTTTCCTAGATTGATGTTCATTATCAGATCCTCCAGATTGATGATGAGTTTGAGGTGGTGGAGTTGTAGCCAAAGCAACACGTTTACGACGCTTGATCACTGATCTTTTCATGGTTACGGGACGGTGAACGTTGTGCAACTTAAAGTAAAGACCTGGAAGAATGAAAAATGGAGGTAAGTAACTGGTACAAGGTAACACGACGTCACAAAAGATAGATTTCCGTCTGCTTACCACAAGCGTTGCATATCGTGTTACCAGCCTCATCTCTACGCCACAAAGGGGTAGTGTTCGTTCCACAATTCGCGCATATCAAGGCTTGGCGATTCACTTGATGTTGATTGTAAGCCGGACAACCATCACAAGAGCTTGATCCGCCAGTACCATCACAGTGACCATCGCCTGGACAAGTTCCGCAGTTACTATTACTTTCGATAGTTTCAGGAATGGATGGTGTAGCTTTTTTAATAGCATTACGTTTTAACCATGGCGGTCGAACTGTATTGCGAGCCTTGAGGTAAAGTCCTAATGATGAGATAATAGGAAACATGATGATACACAAATTAATTAATTACATTGTCGGTGTCTAGAAAAGCAATTTATTTGACGTTGAACAAAGATGGAATTTGTGATAACATACCACAAGCATTGCAAATCGTCTCTCCGGTTGGAGCTCTCCTCCACAAAGGTGTGGTGGTTGTACCGCAGTTTGCACAGACTGTAGCGGACACACCATGACCTTCCGTCTTACAAGAACGAGATTGAATAGATCCAGAAGAACCTTTTCGGCTATTGGGCATGTGAATAGGTTGCTGTTGTAACATTTGCTGCTGTTGCTGTTGCTGATTGAATTGCTGTTGCTGTTGCTGTTGGACAACGTTTTGCCGATGATGGCTGTCAGAACATTGTTGTTGTTGAGAATTGGAAAGCATATTTGCAGCGGAATGATCCATAATTCTTGGAAGGATAAAAATGGAAGGATAAAAGGTAGGTATGTCTTGAGTTGAGTTACTTTTTTCTTTTCGAAACTTAAGAGTGCTGTTCTGTTTTTTGAAAAATTTATTTTTTAACCGCGGTAAAGAGATTTTGAGAGAGAAATGGGGGGTTGATTCGAAAGTTGTGGGTTTTTTTTTTGTAGCGCGAAGCGGAATGTGAGATACTTCCGTGGAAGTAAGTAAGTAACAAAAAAGTTGACTTTTTTTTTGTTGTTGCGCGACTTCTAAAAGTAAGTTTGAAGGGTGATAACGGTTTCAGTTGGGCTTTCGATGTGGTATAAAGCAAGTGTACGGTCAGTGGTTGCAGGTCTGGAATATTTAGTTATGGCAGTCCAGTTATGCATGGAAATTGAAAAAAAAACCGCTAAAAAAATTTAGCGAAAGAGCTTTTTTGTTTTTTTATTTAATTAAAAAAAAACAAATACAATAAATTAAAAGATATTTAATTAATTAAAGAGGAAAAAAAATTTTTTTAATTTGTTCAAATGTTATAAAAATGTTGATAATAAGAAAGGTAAAAAAGAAGTAAGAAAGGTAACGCTAGGTTTTTTGATAACTTTTTTAATGCAAAGAAAATCTCAAAGAATTTTTTACGAATATTGACGAAAAAAAAAAGGGTAAAGGAAGAGACCAGGTCTTTATATAAAAAGAAAAAAAAAAAAAAGGAAGATTAAAATAAAGGGCGTTTTGTTCTGTAAAAAAAAAAAAAAAAAATTTTTGTGTATTTGTGTAATAAATAGATTAGAGATAAGAAATAAATATACAATACTATTATAAAATTTTTTAGATAAGTGATGATGATAAACAAGATAGAAAAACTTGTTTTTTTTTTTTTTTTTTTTTGCATTAAAAGGTCGGGGCAAATCCCCTATTTTGTTTAAACAACAAATTGAAAGGAATTTCTGTATATAGATAAGATATCTTTTATTTATATGTAATAAAGTAAATTTATCAATTGATAAGTAATCTGAATTTATCATATCTGTAAAAAAAAAAAAAAAAAAAAATGGTAATATATATATAAAATAAAAACTAAATAATGATGTCGTGTAATATCGTCCAATGAAAAAAAAAAAAAATCATTTTTAGGAGTAGATTAAAGTGTGGTCTGTAAGGTTAAACCATATATAAGGGCAGGTGAAAAAAAGCCAAAAAAATTTTTTTAAGATAAAGTGTTAAAATTAGGTTTTTTTTTTTTTTTTTCTTTTTTTTTTTTCGTTTTTTTTTTTAAAGTTTGAAAAAACGAGTAGACTGCGCGAGTAGTGATAGACATTGGAATACATGAGATAAAGAGTTTTAAGATGGTATCTTTAGTATAAAGTAGGAATGTAACACAAGATAATGTACATTCAAATAACAAATCATTAATAATATTATCATTATAATTAACTTACAAAACTTGATCGAAAATTTTGTAAAAAAAAAAAAAAAAATTGCTTCGATAGCGTTCTTGATTTTTAATTAATTACTACGGCGGTAATCGTATCAATTCAAAAGATCTAAAAAAGTAAATAAAACCTTTGATAAGAAAGAATGAAAAAAAAAACACAGGGGTTCAATGTTTTCTTTCATGAGAACTTTTTTTTTTTAAAGATGATTGTTTTCTTGACAATTCACACGTTTAGTAATCTGATTAAATTATGTCTTTTTGGTCTACCTTAGTTGTACAATAAAAAAACACTTTACCAAGCATTACACAAATGAACAAGCGTTTCCTTTTCTTATTATTGTTTGATGAATGAATTGAAAGACACATATAATCATACATGGATATATGTATATAAAACGCCACTTTTCCAAATAATAAAGAAAATTTTTTCTTTCGTTGGGGGGGATAATTCATGTTGAGATAAAACAAATTATTTCGACATACAATAGATGATTGAATCGGAAAGAAGATAACCGGAGAAAAGTTGGTCAGTA